CATGTTTTTCGTGTCGTTACCTCTGTTTGCTTGTGCCAGATGTATCACGATGGTGCCACATGTGCTGGTTAATCAAATATTTCCTTCTTTTCGAAACAACATTAATTTTCCCAATTCAGTTATTTTTACGATGTTGAGTTTTCTATTTAGAGAGTTACATCGCGCTGCTACACTCTGTGCTTGTTGGAAAGACATTTACCGAGCATCGCAATGCCGAAGTGAAGTTAGTTTTTCTTTTGCTAGAGGTTTTGTACTGTATTCACAGAAGCCATATGTTAGGTAATCTAATAATAATATAGGTAATCCTGTGTTATGAAGGCTCAGAACCTTACTTTGCATCTTGACGCGGTTTGGCGAGCACTAATGAATTTGATTATTCTAAACCGTTAGTTCTCGGGCTGCTAAATATCACAACGATTTCTCCCTGTCTCTTTCCTCAGGGACGGAAGTGATGCCGTGGTAAGGGGTGTTACTTACCATGCCGTTCCGCCTACCAAATCCTCGATGGCTCAGGCCGAGCAAGCTTTACATACTGCGGGGGTCGGTTTTTGGGCTTCTCTAGGTGTATTGAAATGCGAGGCACATTCGAAAGAACTGAACAGAGCTGGATGCTTCATATTCTGTTTGTCCTCTCAACGATTGCGCTCGAGATAATGTTATTTTACTCTTTATTCGCTATTCGCTATTATACTTTTTTGTTTGTTTTTGATTAGTGAATCAGCCTCACCCTGTCAATAGATTTCATTTTTATGAAGTGTAGATTCCGATGAATGCTAAATATTTTTCTAATGAATTGATGTGCAACATCCTTCTTTATTACTTACCATGTGTTGAAAAAGGCTCCCCCACTTTCTTCACGATTTGGGGCGCGGCCGCGGCAAACCCGCGGCGTTCGCGGCCGAGTAGTGCGGCATCAGCTTGCCTGAGTATTCGACGTTACATTACGTGTCGTTACGATCGGATGAACTAACACGTAATGTAACGTCGAATACTCAGGCAAGCTGATGCCGCACTACTCGGCCGCGAACGCCGCGGGTTTGCCGCGGCCGCGCCCCAAATCGTGAAGAAAGTGGGGAGCCGTTAAAAAACAAGCGAAACTAAGCAACGAATCTAGTGTATCTATCAATATGTATACTTATGAATTAACTCAAGTGATTTTTCAGGCCAGCATGCTGGGCTTCGGCCTACGGAAAACTTGAACCCAGCCCTTTAAATCGCCCCGATTCGATACTCTCGCTCAAACAACAACTGGTGATCACTGTAGCTTACATCCTGAAACTTCTGCTACATGCTCATCGACTCATTTATCGCTCTTTTGAGCTTAGTCTAGTGCTTTTGCCTCACCCCTTCGACATACAAAGTTGAGTCAGACGCTCTTCTGGAACAATCTGTGCTCCGAGTCTTCAGATCAGAGAACGTGGAGAAAACTTCCAAGCCAGACCCCCTCCCCTTCTTCTCCCCCCTCTCCCCCCACCCACCGTCAAGTAAGGTGCTTGATAAATGGCCGTAATTTTATGGTGACCTTTGGTTTTCATTACCATGTGAACAGGCACCGTGCTTACGTCACGGGTACGGTGAGTTATCTTCACGCGTGACGCAGGTGGTATCACATTGTTCGTTTGTGTAAAGAACTTCCCGGTTTTTCTGGTGTTACACTATTGAATTGTGTTCGCCGATTATAAAAGGGTTTTTAAAACCATTCTTTAACCATTGCACAACTCCAGAAATTGGAGGTTATCGTCGCGGAGCCTCGAAAAATGTGCTTGCCTCATCCTCGTTCAAAGCCATAGGGTCTCGCTCATCATTACGATCGAACTTCACCCATTCTGTTCCCTTGCTGTCCTTTAGTTTAGAACGTAATTCACTTATTTCTTTGACCAATGAATACAAAATAAGGTGACCCGGTCATTATTGCTTCCTATGGTAAGGGCTCCTTTGGTATTGCATAATGTCTTTCGACATCTTTTCATAATTGCCTATATCGTCGTTTCTTCGCTCGATTGGTGATGAGCCATCGTAATATTTGCTGTGACACCCGTTTTAGTTTTTATCGACGGTGTTTTGTTGGTGTTTGGTGTAATATTGGGGTGAACACCCTATTACACGCTCTACTTCCGAGAATTACTCAAGAAGAAGTAGTTAAACACGAAATTCTCATCTTTTTGAATGTACCCATCGCGAAATTTCATTCTTCAATTGATTTGCATTCAGATCGAATTTTGAACTGGAAGATTTTCATCCTTATAGGCGTTGAATTCACTCGCCGCTTAGCCTATCACAGATAACGACCGGCCGGGTTTTGAACTATTGGTGGAATTTAGTTCACTGTGTTCCTGGGCATTCACTTTTACGCTAGGGACCTATGAGGTTAGATTCCTCGCCCGGCAGAGGAACATCCTTTCGCGAAATTTCCCTTCCTACTCCTCTAAATTATACTATGAGTAGCTAATACTAAGTAAAATCGCTTACATTCTTTTTATTTTCATTCATTTAGTTAGTTTTTTTTTCAGCAACAGTTTCCGCTCAAGCTTGTTATCTTTATCGGTCTAATGTTAACAGCGTAAGCTCTTTAATCTTTTTAGAATCCCTTTCCCCATTTCCTCAGTGCTTTCGTTCAGCATGGGGTAAGAATTAAATATGTTTGAAGTAGAAATGAATTTAAGTGCAGCTGGAACTCTCACTTTATCAATGTTGTGTTTACTGCCGTGGAAAGGAGCAGCTGATATGGTAATCAGGGCGTGCTGGTGATTTAAGGACCTGAATTGCTGGACCCATGTGTTAGCGCTGGCAAGTTCAAACGCAGTAAGTCTCGTGAGCCCGTGTTTGATTATATTCTCAATTTTTCTTCCCCATAAACGAATTCATAGCGTTGGAAAGAAAACTCAAATATCCGAGTGGAAGCCTTTTATCTATGCGGTATCGCGTTGCTTTTTGGGATTACATACATTGTTTTGGAAATATTGTGCGCCATAAAAATGAACACTGCTCCCCTTCCGCAGCGCCTATTTTCACTTGAGGCCTGTTCTTTCTGTTTTAAGTCTTTGTTATCTGTATTTCATAATATTTTATCATGATTCAGGTCTTTTCGGCTATCCATGCTTAATTTCTTTTCAAAGGCTTATTAAACGTCACGTATTTCATACCCCAGAAATTCCATATGAGGCTTTGGGTTTCTAAGTATGCGTGATGGGACTGGCAACTATTATGGATTCTGGGAAATTCGCATTTCTTTCTTGCCCCTGTTTCTCCTCTTGGTTCTTTTTTTCTGAAAGTTGAATCCTTCGAAAGGTCTATGTGTCAGTCACGATGTTTTCCCCATTTCGTTTTCGTTACTTAGTCAGTTAGCGAGCTCATTTAATTTCATTCAATTTCCGTTGCTCTCGTTGTTTTGATTGAGGCTTTTCCCATTACTGTAACTGTGGACGTTTTGCTCTCGGTTGCATGCACATGTAGGGAGTCATTTTAAGAGATGGATATGTATTTGTCTCGTTGCGAAATGGAAAGCTGCTGGCTTTCGTTAATTCCATGTTGTTTTCGAATTCCATTCCCAATTCGCTCTTCCATTAGTCTCGGCACTAAAGTGTCGCTGTTGAAACACTTCGCTTAATGAGATTTCGGCGGAATAACTTTCCTATCGCTGTTCGTTCATTTGTTCGCTGTACATCTCTGCAGTGGCTTGCAGCAGCCGCTCTTATTGGTATCAGTCGATCGTTATTCTATCCGTGTGCTGTCTCGTTCTTTCTTCAATTATCTAATTTCCATATTGTTTCAGATAAATTGTGTACGCGAAGCAATGCAGTGGACTGTCGCGCTTGAGGGCGGACCTCGCCGCGTCAACCACGCTGCCGTTGCGATCGGCGATAGGGTAAGTTTTGGTACTTATTTTTGATCAATGTATGTAGGTATTGCCTTTTATATTTTTTGCACTGGCTTGAATATTGATGGGGTGGAAACGAGGTAAGCGATTCAGAAAATGAAATTTATCCTACAGGGCTTGCAAAAGAGTTATTAGAATGTACACCACCACAAGTGAACCACAGACAACAGGGAAAGCTTGTCTCTCTGGCATTGATTAGGTGAAGTTATCGGGTGGAAACCGAATTTGGAGGACTCCTTGTGACATAGCAACTACTTGAAGGCTTGCAACTAAAGCGTTTCACCCAAATAAATATCACTTTCCTTTATCGGTTTGATTTTACTTGAATGATGACTTTATAAGCTAAGATCATTACGAAAACTTTGGTAGTGGTTGTAAAAGGTCCTTTCTTCAACGTGTAAAGCAACGGAACCCCATGGGTACTTATCATATCTCACCGAGCGACTAAGTGCACTGATATGACACACAAAGAGATTTTAGATGCATGGCGTAGCTGAAGTTATTTATGAGTAGTGTTTCAATTGCAAATATTTTAAGAGAAGAGAAGTCCCTTTCACTAATTTTACTTTTTCGAAGTGTCTTAGGGATATCATACATGAGTAATTAGAGATTGCCTACCAAAGAACTTGACGAGAAGAGGTCTTTGCTTTTCACCTAATCAGTCTGTGTACGGCCACGGAAAGTGAGAGAGATAGTGCCAAATCGACCGTATTCGGCATGGTGCCAGGTGAAAACGTTATCAATGCACGTGATGCCTTTGAAATCATAATCAGGAAGTGATGAAACTTCCTTCTATGGGGGACCTTATATGTAGCCTGAAGAAAGTTATGCCCTTGTTCAGTTATGCTCTACTATCTGCGGTTTTGAATGTTGGTTTTTCTTCTATTCAAGTAAAGAAAGTGGTAATTTGCCGCTGTTTCGATTAGTCAGTTACTTCCTCTCGGGGAGTGGTGTGAAGACTTGTCTTACCGCTGAAGTTTTTTTTTTGATCCACTAGCGGGTCTGTAGTGAGAACAATTGCACACACTGCCAGAGAAACAAATGTTGTGATTATTTGACATTATTGATGTATTGTAAGATTAAAGCAGGGTGGCTGAAGCGTAGCTTGTTCATGAAACTTTTTGTTCTCAATTCGCTGTCTCCTATGCAGGGCAATGTGTTCATTGCATAAAGAACGCTCTACGATCGTCTTATGTGGTTAATTCATCATTAGAAGTCTTTTTACTGAAGAAGTAAAAACAAAGCTCAATCAAACTCGTCTTCTCGAGCAAAGAACGTTTAGACGAGGCTGGAGTTTTCTGGGGTTAATTTTTGGTTGTTATCGTTCTCCATGAAAATCTCCAATCAGCAGTGGTTTAGTCATTGCTTTGTGAACCCGTTCCCATAAAATAAAGTTGTTCAACTTGATGGGAGAGAATCCTGACCGTATCACACCATATGTGAAGGTCACCCTTTCAAATCAAAGAGGAAAGGTTATGCGTTCAAGGAATATGTCTCTTTCTCCGATGATATTATCGTATGGTGTGATCAGACAGGAAATGTTGCGCCAGTCATGTTGTAACATCCTTGATCTTATCGAACCAGGTTGACAGTATGAGTGCATTAGAGTGAAGATCATTTGCGATGAACTTTAGTTGCCCTTGGTCTGAGTTTAAAAGTGAAGTTGAACCCAAGGAGTGACGTCACATCTAAGGGGAATTTTTTGATTTTACGTAGGACATGAGTAAATAGGCGTACGAGTTTTTGACCGGATGATGTCGTTCAAAAAAGTTTGATGACTAAAGGCCAACTGCTCGGCTGCCTTTAATAAAAGGCCTTAGTTTCGAAATTTCTAATCAGGTGGAACTTATTAACAATTTTCTTGTCTTCCAGGTGTTTTCCTTTGGTGGCTATTGCAGCGGCGAGACCGTCGATCCCGAACAGCCGATTGATATTCATATGCTAGATACTAGTGAGTTGCTCTTCTTTTTTTCGTTCTTGTTCTTTTTTTGTGCTTTCCTTTTACTCTTGTTTCTCTGTTTTGTTGTTTACTTTCTGGCCATGATACCTACTTTTCAAAACGAGTTTAAAGTGCAGGACTTTTTCACTTACCACTGTTTTCCCCCAAGTGCTTTTTTTAGATACATATCGATGGATTTCTGTGAAGGCGCATTCGTCGGATGTTGAAGAAGGTGATGATAGGGTGAGCTGAACTGAATTTTTTGTCGTCATGCGTTTTCCTTTTTCGCGTTATTTTAGGAGTAACAAGTTTCAGAACAGCTATGATATCAGTAACGACTAATACGAATTGGTATTACCTGAGGCTTCAATAAGTATTGACTTTTTCCCTCAAAGAGTTCACGTCATCTTGAAGGCGCGTTCCACGACCGATTGTTATTGTGTCTGAAATGCAAATATTTCGGCGACTGGTGATCAATAATGGAAGAAAATGAAAAGTTGAGAACCCCATCACATTACGCGGTCATGTGGGCGACTTTTGCAGCAGTTCCAATAGGTGCCTGGATCTTTTGATCGTACTCTAACGTATTTGATCGCGTAAGATGAAGATTAATGTGCTACTACCCACAGCTGTTTAATCGTGGAACGTGCCTCGATGGGGAGAAAGCTGCCATTAGTTCACCTATCGGGGATATTCTAGTATTCCACGCGATTTCAATTCGTACGCGACGGCAGTTATTCATTAAGAAGTTGCTCCTTGAGCAGACGAAATTGGCGGCGTTGCATTTTTGATCCAGCTTGCAAGAGGGTCATTTCGACCCAGAGGGAATTCGGCACACATCTGCTAGTGCAAATGATACTTAATTAAGTACTGTAGATGGGGTGCGAATTTGTTATCTAAAAATACATTAGTATTTATACAAACTTTAGAATTCGTGGTTTGAGGGATTGTTTCAGATGGAAGAAGACGACATGGAACCACTCAGATCATTGCCATATCAGCGCTATGGGCACACGGTATGTGCATACCGAGGACGGGCTTATTTATGGGGCGGCAGAAATGATGACTATGGAGCAAGCTCAACACTTCATGAATTCGATCCCGGTGAGAAACGAGATTTTTGTTTGTTACCGCGTTTAATTATCGCGATATTTTTGTTTGAGGGTGACTAATCTTTTTCCGCATTTTCAAGCTTTTCTTTTTTCTCGACATCTTGTAAGGGTTTGGAAGAAACCTTCCATTTATGTTTGGTTGAAAGATTTTTCTTTTTTAAGTGCTGCTCCGCTGGCGCATTGTCCCTGTCGAAGGACGTGTCCCTCCAGCCAGAGACGGTCACTCGGCAGTGGTTGTCGGTGATCGCATGTTTCTTTTTGGTGGTTTTGAAGAGGATTTGCAACGATTCAGCCAGGAGACCTATGTGTTCGATTTTTTGACGAACCGATGGAGCGAGTTCAATACCACGGTTAGTCGTCAATTTCAGCGAGATAGGACTTTCTTGTTGCAATATCGAATCTAGTCTGAAAAGAATTGTTATCGATTCCGCTCTTGCAACTAGAGTATTCATATTGTCATCTCTCCTTTCTTTAGGGTCAACCACCACTCTGGCGCGATTTCCACACTGCTGTTGCGATTGATAGTAAAATGTATATTTTCGGTGGAAGAAGTGATTACACTGGACAGGTACGCTTTCGAAAATGCCGCTTTGATTCATTTTTTCTCTTCTGCTGTCCTTATTATACGAGAAGGCTTGTGGTTAGTTTGCGGTCGTTATTGATTGATCTTGTCCATTAGTTCTACCAGTTACCTCAAGTTTTGTATATGGTGGTGGTGCATTCCAAATGTTGCATGAAAGTTTTCGTGTCTTTCGGATTTAACAAAAATCTTGCAGCAGCTTTGCTGGGTTATTTTGTGGAGTAACTCTGCGTAAGACAGGAGAATAAATATTTCCGAGGACGACTAACAGATGGCATATAAATTTCATTGCAAATTGTTGCTGTTTCAAAATTGGCAAAACAACGGTCACGCATAGATTTCAAACTTTACGTTTTAACCATGTTTTCGCGTGTTGTCGCCATCTTCGCTTAATTACATTTTAGTTCTAACAACGCTTCCGGTAACTTCTTCACCAGCTTTCTCTAGTTTCCCAAGTTCTGTACTCTTGGGGATCCAACCCATTAGTTTTTTTTTCAGTTCCATTCGACGCGCGATATGTATGACGAGCGTTTGAAGGCATTAGATTTGCGAACAGGCGAATGGTCAGATCCTATTTGTAACGGCGTTGGACCGTCTGGACGGCGAAGTCATTCAGCTTGTGAGCCATTTCGACTTGTTTAACTTGTTCACTTCTTAAACGGTTTGAGCATCGTGTCTGCAACTTAAGAACAACCGTGGAACTACAATATCTTGTCTTAAGGGACGTACGGTGGAAAAATGTACATTTTTGGAGGATATCTCGGCACTCAGAATATGCATTACGACGATTTGTTCTCGTTTGATCCGTCAACGAATCACTGGGAGAAGATTAAGGTGAGAACCTCTTTCTTGACTATGACTATGGTGATAACTACGTGTATCGTTCCATTCTTTCGAGCTGCCAATTTTGGGTTCTGAATTAATGATATTCGTTCGATTTTATTGTTGATCTTCAATACAAAAAATGGCCGTGTCTGGCGCGGTCTTTTTGAATTGCACAGTAAGGTGTACCTGTCACAAGATTATAAGTTAAGGAACATAGGATGTATACC